ACTCTGACTGAATTCTAATATTGGAAAGCCGTAATATATACAGTGAGTGCAAAAAGTATTTACGCAGAGAAAATATTTTTTAAAAAAACTTTATTTTTAAAAAGTAAATATCGTCCAGCAAGAAATGAGTCATTAAATTGATGTCGAATCGATATCGATACAATGATTTCAACACCAATTCGACGTCGATTCGACGTTTAATTAACGTTCATTTCTTGCTAGGTAATTGACAATTTATTCATAAAGAATAAAATAGATTGTATGTTTCTTAAAATTATAGATACTAAAAAGATGTGTATTAATTATAGAAAATATATCATCTGAAAAATAAACGAAAATTAAAAATTCTGTTGTTTGGATGCTCAAAAAGAATTCGTACAATCGAGAAATTTAGCTTCTAAAATCAGGAATACATGCGAAACTCATTTGTTTATGTTAGAACAGAATATATTCATCGTTTAAAATTATTAATTAATGTTTATTTTTTACAAATAAGACTTTTTTGTATAAAAAATTTTCTTGTACAAATACTTTCTGTTCTCACTGTATATCAATCGTTCGTATTACATATTATATATATTTAGCAAAAAATTGAAAGATGAGAAGTCCGAGTATATCCCGAACACGTGTATGATTTATTCAAACATTGAACACGCGCGCCAAGTAACGTTTCAAAACTTGACTCTGTCAACTTCGAGTATCTTTCATCTTTATTCAATATTTGATGACCAACAAGGATAAAATGATAGTTGACATAGTTGAATTTTGGAACGCGCGCGCAACTCTGAAGTATAGAGCAGCTGAAACTTGCCGCGGTGAATATCGTGTTAAGTTGGCTGCGGTCGCGATCTTCGTTTACGACGCCATATTGCAAAGCGTCACGAGCGACGAGCGGATCGTAGTTTCGTGCGCGCATGTCCTTTTCGTGTTATTCTTTCGTCTCAATAAAATATCTGTCACGTGCGACTAACGTCGGGAGTGCCAGACAGAGTGTCGCGCGATCGTCGTATTCTGATAATCAGTTCGCGCATAATTAATCAGGCTTCCGAGAGTGAATACGTATTGAATGCCGTAACGGAATGACACAGAGAAGAAAAGAAAAGGGAGATATCGCAACCGAGGAGTGAGTAATTTTTTACTTGTATATAAGTATTTTGATATTATTTGTACGGAAATAATCTGTTATTAATTAAATAAGAGAAAATCCTCAATTTGGTCAAAGCGGATCTTAGTATATAAATATTTCTGTGTAAATTTATATATATATCTTCTAATTCTGCAAACCGTGCGCTGAAATCCTTTTCGGTCTTGAACGCAATTATGTGGTCTGTTTTCTGTTCCTGTACTAGACTATACTAGAATTCTCTTCCTCGCTTTCAACAAACATCAAACATATACCTATTTCACTTTAAGTTCCAAAAGTGTACACTAGTTCAGCCACTGAAAACAGACTTAAAAGCAAATCCAGAGTAGTAATATGACTTATTAAATTGACGAGCAATTTAATTATTTTTGATACTAATAAGCATCTTTATAAAAATATTAATAACCTGTTAATGAGAAACTTAAGTTTGCGAATAATTTATTGCGAAAAGATTCTTATAAGAAATTGATGCTTATTAATAATTATTTAATTGCTTGTTAATGACGCAGTTTGCAGAATAAAATATGTACATAAATTCATACAGAAAATTTTGAACACTAACACTGCTCTGGCCGAATATAGGATTTCTCTTTAATTAGATTTATTCTCTCCGTTTATATTTGTATTATAATTGTTAATGGGTTATTAATTAAATATTTAAATCATTCATGCCTGAGTAATTTGTGTAAGAAATAAATAAAAATGTTATATTACGAAATTTTATGAAAGTTAATATTTAGAAAAGCATTTTTTTTTAGAAATTATATATTTTTTAGAAATTTTTAATTTTATTAAATATCTTTTAAGAGTCATGATAAATTCAATTGGCGCAAGAATTATTTCTTGAAATATTATTTAGTTATTTTTGGCGATTCTATAATTTAAATTATTTATATTTTGCAGATCAATATAGAGTTATAATTCCGCTGCGTATCACATCGGTGAGTGTCAAATTATTATTATATTTTATGATGAAAAAATAGATCTGTAAATATTATAGGTAATATAATATCTTGCTCATATGTGAAGCTATTACCTAGAAACGGAGCTCTGATAAATTAGTGTTTATTTGATATTAATGTCTATTTGATATTTCACCCTAAAATATTGCATATAACTGTGTTGAATTATTATATTTGCGAAGATGCATATGTACGAACATAAAATAGACTTAACTACTAATACGCACTATTATTAGTTTGATGTATATAGTTTGATTATTTATTGATACGTTTTGATATCTAGTTATGCAACAAAATATTAATCATAAAATGTACGAAATTAATAGGAAATTTAATTTTGCTTTTATAAAAACGAAAACGTAATGGAAGACATTTCTCTGTTACGGTATTTAATAAAAAGCGATAAACGGAATGATTAAATAAATAATTTGTTTCCGGATTAATAAAAGTACTGTAATCCCTTATATTTTTTACAAGCAATTCAGGAGAAATTTTTAGAAGACTTAATTGAAAACACCATGAGAATATTGCATTTTAATTTCAGTATCAAGTATATGAAATTTAATAAACTTTTATTGTAAAAATCTTTATATAAATTATTTTAAAGTTAATTAATTATATTTCTCAGTGTTGTATCTATTAGAATATTTGATATATTTTGAAAATATATTTTTAATATGGCATATGAAGAATAAAATTTTGATCGCTTATTGACGATATAATAAAAAATGAGATATTTGTATTAAAATAAAAATTTGTAAGACATATGTCGAGAACATGAAAAATATTTATATTAACAGAAATGAATCGCTCGGATCATCCATTACTCTTTTCATATCTTATATTATTTCTTGTCAACATGATTAACAATTTCTACATTCTTCTATCTCTCTATAGTAAAAATGTCGATGTTATTTGAAAATAAAAATCATACATTTTGTAAGTAATTAACAATAATAATTTATTGACGGATTAAAGAGTCTTAAGGATATATTTCTCAATTATCTTTCTTTTATAATTAATCATTTATGTTGAATTTATTTTAAAAGAAAAACTAAGAATTTTGAAAGTCTCTCTTTATGTATGCAAAATCACATATCGCATATTTATCATATATTTAAAATTATATATTTATAAGTATATACGATAAGCAATATTACATACAATATGTTTCGCGATAATGTATTGCTTTAATTATGTCAAGCTTTACATAAAATATTGCGTTGAGCTTCTCAGCGAAATAATGTAAGTAAATTTCTAATTAAAGTAAAATCATTTAATCGTTTACATCTTAAAATGTGAAACTTCTCATTTGATTTGCACAATATTTCACCTAACACGCTTTTAAGATTCAAGATTCAAATAACGATTAGAAATATGAGAATCGTAAAGATTTCTCAAAAATAATTTTCTAGAAACGTGTGATATTTACAGTTTTATGTGTCAATTTTTGTACATAAAAAATATCATAGAAACCATTTTATGATCTTGCTTTTAAATTTTAATTTAGATTGGATTTATGCATGAAAATAAGTAATTTACATATTCAAGATAGTAGTTATCCGTTACAATTTTAAAAAATTTAACATTAAATCTTAATAATTAAAAAGTTTACTGAAATTGAAATTGAAAGTAAGATCAAAGTAAATTACAAATTAAATATTATTGAGAATTACTTTTCTAGACTTCTCTCTCTCTCTCTCTCTCTCTCTCTCTCTCTCTCTCTCTCTCTCTCAATTAATCTTTAAAAAGCTCTTTATTTTTCCTTTAGAGAGTAAAGTTAACAATAAGAAGAATGAAGAGATTATGACTGAAGTATTATTTAATTGCTTTTCAAAACTGCATAGTCTTCAAAAGGTCTTTTGTCTTCATTCTTTTTGTACCTGTGAAATTGCTTGTAGCCTCTCGATATTTCGATTACGAGAAAATTAATCGATCGACTGAAATTAAAATCTAAATTTCGCTTGTACTTGTAATTTAACAGTCCGTACAATAATACAATTCGCGAAAGTTTGTTAAAATATCAGAACTTCGCTCTCGAACGCGTATTCAATGATCGGCGTGACAAAAAAGTAAGAGACGAAAAGAAAATTCGTAAAATCTTTCAGATAATGATAATCTATCACCCGGAAACTTTAATGTGCGTGATATAATTCTCGCGACGCACAAAACGAGTTACGAAGAAAACTCGATAAACAGCCGTGTGGCGCCTTGCGGTGCGTCCTTGCCTCGCGCGAGCGCCGCCGACACTAAGTCCTTGTAAGGGAAAAACCACCCACGCAACATTAAGCGATACACCGCATACTTGTGCGTACCTCGTAAGCATGTCAGTAAACGAGATCCAGCGCACAATCAATTTCATCATTGCGTGTTATTCTGTCAAGCCGCGATATCGAGATCCTTGTTAACCGTGGAAAAAAAGCTCTTGAAAATGCTGGAGGGGAGGAGGTACGATCGATAATTATAAAGGAGATATAGAAAGCAAATTTGATTTTCACATCGAGTCCTGTTAGATCTATGAAGTATTAAAACCCGATATTATGAGTAATTAAAAATCGATTCTAGCATCGTGTGGTATTTGATTAGACTAATAATTCTTGAATACGTGAGATACATTATTAATGTTTGTAGGAAATGTCGGAAGTTAATACGTGATTAAAGCCAATCAACAGTTATAATTGCACACCATAGTTTAAAACGAGCTAACCATGGTTTCTATGGTAACACTCGTGGGCCGATTTTCCCTTAAGCGGCGACCTTGTTCTCGGCACCACACCTTCACTTCTCCCCGTTAATTGTCGTTCGTGTCTATAACTTTCTACCTCCTCATTTTCCCCATTACGTCCCCAACGTAAAATGTTTCCTTCTCTGAGAATGACTGAGCTGTTAATTACCTTCACCGTTACTCTCCATCCTGGATGCTGTGTTGACCGTATCGCCGAACAGGCAGTATCTAGGCATTTTAAGACCTACTACACCAGCCACGCATGGTCCTGTAAGGAAACACATGTACGGCACTATATATTTTATGTTATTTTTATCACTGACGTTATTTTTATACCGTTTTTTTTTTTCGAAAAAAGATAATGGAAATGATGTAATATAGTTATAAAAATATCTGAAACAATTCTTGTTTTTCGAACGTTTTTAAAAAAAGTATAATTTTTATACTTTTCATTTTTTTTTTCAAGAAGATTGTTTCTTATGAAAAATATCTTTTAAGTATCATTTTATATCGTTAGAATAATTTTTAATTAAAAACATTTTTGCTTTTTTCTTTAATGTTTTTCATTTGTTGATACTTGAAGAGCCAATTTTCTATTCTTTATTAAAAAAATGTGACAACAACAAGCGCTTACTTTCGCGAATACGTTATAATTATTCTTTTCAAATAATGCAGAAACGACGGTTGTCCTCTGAGTCTATTTAAAATCAATTAACTTTACTAATTATGATTAACCACTCGATGTATATATTATATTAAGTCTTTTCTTCTCACGGGACTAATCTAAGTTTTATGCGTTCTTGAAGAATGCGTTTCGGATACGCGTGACATTTGGTGTCACCGAGACAAATTTTAGTGGAAGGTAGAAATAGGATGAATTAGTATCTAGAAAATAAAGATTCTCGTCACGTAATGGTTTAAGGACCATCGTGTCATGAATTTAAAACTTAATGGAAAGAAAAGCGAAAATGATAACCACTTTAGTTGAGAAATACAATCATTCATACTTTCAATAGCACATGGTTGCTAATATTTTCCAACAATATCATTTCCGGATCAGTTCCGTTTGTATCAAATATCATTTTCAATGGAAACGGATATTCTGTAAAAGTAAATTTGAGGAAAAATTTCCACTAGAAATTATTTTGAAATATTGTACCGCGTTTTTTATTCAATTTGTGTTATTCGTAATATTAATTCATAGCTTGCATATTCGACCTTTGCTACATGCAATCGATTCGTTACACGAAAGGAAATTTATAACGTCATTCTTCAACATATTGAATATGCTATTCTCTTTAATCAAACATCGAAAAGTCTACAAAATATGATATAAAAAGTTTTCTCCTTAGCGAAAAACAAATTGTATATGTAATAATAAGTTGCAATAATAAGATGATGCACAATCTATATACTTTGAAACTTGAAATTAGAAATTCTGAAATTGCAGACTATACGACAGTACGAGTCTGGCATGAAGCCTATAGAAACGCATTAAAACTAATTTTGTTTCGCTTCACTCGAGTGGAAAAAGATATATGTAGAATAAAGTATTGACTCACCAGAATGCATGCCAATACGAAGTTTTAATTGCTCGGTTGGTCTATGGCGAATACTGAATGTCATTACCGTATCCCTGAGGGCTAAACTCATCCTCGCAATTTCTCTAGCGTGATTCATTCCGTTTCTCACTGGTAATCCTGATACGACCATGTAAGCATCCCCTATTGTTTCCACCTGAAAAAATCAAGTGAAACTTGATGTTGAAAAATCACAAAAATAGTACACAAAACATATTTATGTAAAAAATTCAAATTTTACATGATTTTATGAAAAATATTTTTCCTTTATGTTATACGCTATAGTTTTATTTATGTATTTAAATTTATTACTATTCATTTAAAAAGCAAAAGAGCATTTTTACATTAAACCTTTACATCGAATATATTTTCATGTTAAATTTATTCATTTCTATCCACACGTTTTATATCATTTTCTGTTCGGGTTAAATAGATTAAGTACGAGAAAAAGAAGATGTCAGACAAAAAGAAAAGTCTACAGAAATGGCATCATTATATTTAACGAGGACACTACGATTTTAAAAAGTTCGTAATACTGGAGTGAAATAAACGGGTTAAAAGTAAAATATATTTAATAGAAATATCATGGAACAGAAAACATGAGAGAAAGTGCTGCAAATGTAATGAACGAAAACCATTTTTACAATTAACAATTAAGGCTTTGATGAATATAAATTCAATAATATATCTAATTTTTTTAGATTAAAAGAGCTAAAAGCATGATAATAACGTAATTTTATTATTTAAATTACTTAAACTACATAATCATACATTTCGACTTTGAATATGGTCCTCTCTCTCATCAATGAATATACCTAAGATATTTCATTACTTATAATTTCTCTATTAGCTTTAAGATTCGCAATCCGCTTTGTACGTATAATGCGTCAATCTTCTGAACATAAAGCCATTTTATTTCTCGAAATATCGGTTTTAAAAGTTCTCATAATTACTGTCGATATATAATTATAAAAAAGCACATCTGCAAATATTGGCGATGAATTATTAATGAACTTGTATCGATATAAATTAATCGTAAGCGATGTAATATTAATAGAAATTAAATATAGATTATGATAAAGTTTATTTTTCAATAAACTCTGATAATTTACAATCATCGTCTAAATAAATCGCAATAACGATTAAATGAAACATGCGAAAGAGTATAAATAGTACAGATTATATTTAATTTTAATATTCAATATTCTAAAAAGCGAATATAGAGGGAAAAGATAAGAACGTTCGAGAGGAAAAGGGAAAGTTTAATCTATAATTAAAGTAAAGT